TATCTGGATCTTCCTGCTTGCATTATCTAGCTTTCATCCCCGGCAGGAAGGCAAGGCTGTGTGTACACACACACACACACACACACGACTCACACGCGTACGTTGTCTCTTGGGGAATGCATCATTATGAACACAGAAAGCAGCTTTCTACCGAGTCAGACTCTCGGTCTGCCTAGAACAGTTCTGTCTACACTGACTGGCAGCGGCTCTCCAGGGTTTCAGACACAGATCTCTCCCAGCTCAACCTGAAGATACTGCATCTCTGCTCTACCTCCCCAAGAAGAGTTGGCTTGCATGTCAACCGGTGATAAAACTGCCTTACCACCCTGTGCACAAACCTTTTTCAATGGACACAGCGGCAGATTCAGGGAAATGTAGAGAATCAAGAGTGAAGGAATAGGCCCAAGGAGCAAGGCTGGATGAAAGCGCTTTGGGGGCCCAAAATAAGGAACCTCTTCCTTATTGCATTGCAGGGGGTGGGACTAGATGTCCCCCAAGGTCCCTTCCAACTCTAAAATTCTATGATTCTATTATTCCCCTCCCCCAAAGCAACACATCAAATAAAGTATCACAAAATTAGTCTTGCGGCATCTTTTTAAAAATTCTGTCTAGATGAGCCCTACTAAGCTTATGACTTTCTGAAATTAATGGACCAAAGCTAGTTATGTCCATTAATTTCAGTGGGTGTACTCTTGAGGCATGGTGGGTGCAACCCTTATCAATTTATTACGATATTAGGTTTTGTTATGATGAAAAAACCCCAAAACTTCTGAGCATGCAAAGTTTCATTGTAACTCTCACCAGAACAAACACAAAAACCATTTTGCTGAAAATAAAATACTCTGTGCACGACTGCCATCTTCAAACACCTTCAGGCAGGCTTCCTCAACCATGGCCCTCCAGATGTTTTGAGACTACAATTCCCATCATCCCTGACCACTGGTCCTGCTAGCTAGGGATCATGGGAGTTGTAGGCCAAAAACATCTGGAGGGCCGAGGTTGAGGAAGCCTGCCTTAAGGGGTGTCACATGGAAGATGGAGCAAGCTTGTTTTCTCCTACTCCAGAGGCCAGGACTCGAACCAACGGATTCAAGTTACAAGACAGGAGATTCTGACTAAACATCAGGCCCATCTTTCTGACGGCAAGAGCTGCTGGACAGTAGAACAGACTCCCATAAGAGGTGGTGGATTCTCCTTTCTTAAGTTTTTTAAAGCAGAGGTTGGATGGCCATGTGTCATGGATGCTTTAGTGGAGATTCCTGCATTGCAGGGGGTTGGACTAGATGACCCTCAGGGTCCCTTCCAACTCTACAATTCTATGATTCTAAGTAGGGGAATACCTGAAGTATTGCAATCAGGCTGAAGAGAGAAACTCAATTCTCTTACTTCTTGTACCTCTTGCTTTGAATATTGTTTTAATGGCTTGTTTATTACAGTTTAATTATTGATCTTTTTAGCATAGTTGATTTACTATGTATTTCAATTATGCAGTGTTGTGTTTTTTTCAATTCTATGTGCCATTTCAGTTTTCCATCACTTAACCCATCACTGTCTTTTCGCACTTCCCAGCTTGGCCCAGCATAACCTACCTCACATGGGTGCTGCGAAGATATATAAAAATGTTGAGGAAATAAGTGTCCATGAATGAGCCCAAGCTCTGCCCTAGTAACCATTACCATGCTGTTTTTTTCTCCACACCATACATTTAAAGTGCATGACTTCCACCAAAGAATTCTGGGAATTGTAGCTTAGTACTCACAGAAATAGGGACGTGGGTGGCGCTGTGGGTTAAACCACAGAGCCTAGGACTTGCTGATCAGAAGGTTGGCGGTTCGAATCCCCGCGACGGGGTGAGCTCCCATTGCTCAGTCCCTGCTCCTGCCCACCTAGCAGTTCGAAAGCACGTCAAAGTGCAAGTAGATAAATAGGTACCACTCCGGCAGGAAGGTAAACGGCGTTTCCGTGCGCTGCTCTGGTTCGGCAGAAGCGGCTTAGTCATGCTGGCCATCGGCTCCCTTGGCCAATAAAGCGAGATGAGCGCCGCAACCCCAGAGTCATCCGCGACTGGACCTAATGATCAGGGGTCCCTTTACCTTTACTCACAGAAATATAATTTCCAGCACCCTTGACAGGTTTTTTTTTGGGGGGGGAGGGGGGAAGTAATGTGCTTTAAATGCGTGGTGTGGACATCAGACTGAGCTACAGTTCTAGCAGCAGTTGTTTTCCTGCCCTATGTCCCAGCTCCACTAACCTCGTGGTACACCAAAAAGGAGAAACCAGGAATGCCCAAATCACAAATAGGCATTCAAAGCCCCCCAGCTGAAACACGCTTTGAAAACACAGTGGAGGGGTTACAGGAACTGATATGGCCAAGAAAAAGCTACAACAGGGCTTGGAGAAGCACCTCCTCTCACTCGCCCCTGCCCATCTGGGACCCATGCCCTGCTCTGCACGCTCTTAAAAACCCCACATTTCCCTTTTAATCAGCCAGTAAGGAAACACTCTTGCCAAGCCGCCTCATCTGTTGAGGTGGCTGGGGATATTCCATCACACCCAACCATCTGTCAGGAAGAAATCACTCCTTTCTGCCCCGCCTTTGGTGGCGAGTGCCGGCGGGCTTGCCTTGACCCGATGAGCTCCTCTTGAAAGAAGGACAGCTCCATCACCCAAGTGGCTTGCATAGCCTCCATCTCTTCTCCCCAAAGCAGCTCCCTCCCCCCCTCCCCCACCAACCCACTTCAGTTCATGTTCCCTCTTTCTTTCCCTGGCTGAACATGCTAGGTAGCAAACAGGAGGAAGGAAAAGCAGAGGCTTCGAAAACAAGCCTGAAAGTTTCAGCTCGCGTTATGGCGGCACTCATTCGCACGAAATGGCATTCCCCAATCTGGTGCCCTCCAGCTGTTTTGGACTACAACTCTCATCAGCCTAAGACAGAACAGCTGCCATTAAGAAGACAATATGTGCACTGTGAAACACGGGAACGCCCATGCCTGGGAGGTGTAAAAGTGGAAAGTTCCAAAGGCAACTGTGCACACAAAATACCATGGGTGCAAAGACTGAGATGGTTAAGAAGCATTGTGATAGGACTAAAAAGGTGCCCCCCCAAATCCAGCTCAACTATACTTATGTCATGCCTTGTGAACAGCCCTGAGATCTTTCGTTGAAGGGCAGTATATATATCTTAACAACAACACCTTTACCTATTCCTTTCCAAATCCTGAAAAGTCCATAATCATTTTTGCAGGTCCTTCTCTGTCACCTGCCCAGCAATTTATCAACACCTGTCCTGGAGGAGGGTTTTCCAAGCAAGGCCAGGCTGACCTTGCAAGACCAAAAGGGCAATGAAATCGCATTGCAACCCACTCAACCACACCTCACCTGCCAAGCATCAACTAGAGCTGGATGCACACACAAACAACAGCAGACATTAGGGGGGATTCTGTAACAAAAGGGCTGTAAGCCCAGCAGCCAGAGCATCTGCCTTGCATGCACCAGGCCCCTGGTTCAGTCCCTGGCATCTCCAGGTAGGGTTAAGAAGGTCTCCTGCCTGAAATCATGAGAGCTGCTGTCAGTCAGTATAGGCAACACTGAGATAGATGGACCAAGGGTTTGGCTCAATATAAGGCAGCTTTATACATTACTGAACGGTATTCATTGCATTGATGAATTTGCTGTTGTTTGCTTTATATGCTATTGTGTTTGATATTACAGTGTTTGCAGTGTTTTTTGTTTTAAATGCTACTGTGAGCAGCTTTCAACATTTGTTGTTAGAAAAGCGGAATACAAATACCAACTCAACTCAACTCAGCTAGGTCCTGAAATATATCCAAAGAGATGTTTAGGGTCACAAAGTCGGCCCAAGGTATCTCTCCCCCACCAGCAAAAGATACAAATCGCCTCCCTCCTGCCCAGTACAAAAATCAGCACATATTAAATAAATTATAACATTTAACAACACTTTTTAGCACCTCACAGATAGGAGGGTGTAGAATTGGGTAGAAGTCAGCCTGTTCAAAAGGCCTGGGAAGCTCATTGCTGTTATTATTTTTTAGTCCCTTTTCTTACAGAGTGACCCAAAGGGACTTACATTAAAAAGCCATTAAGAACAACCAAATAAAAAAACCCTAAAAAGTAAGAAGAGCCCTCCTGGGTCAGGCCAAAGGTCCATCTACTCCAGCTTCCTGTTCTCATAGTGGGCAACTGGAGGTGCATTGTGGGAAGCCTGCAAGCAGAACCCAAGTGCAAGAGCACTTTCGCCGCACCTGCGGTTTCCAGCAACTGGTATTTAGAGCCATTACTGCTGGTAGCCATTGATAGACGTATCCTCCATGAATTAAAAACACAGCCATACAGGTAAAAGGCAGGAGTTACAGAGCCCAAATATGTCACAGTGCCACCGTCAGAAACAATTTAACAATAACAAGAAAATAAAAGAAACACAACAGTAATACTGTATGAGAAAAAAGGTTCTTATAACCAAACAAATCAGAAAGAAAGAGAGGCCTGCTCCTCTTTAAACGTGTATCAGATCACCTTTCTTGGCCAGAGCAGAACCACAGCTTATGTGTAGTCAAAGACTCTTTAAGAAAGTGGAAATACTGGGCTGGTGGGTGTTGTCATGTTAAAAGAAGGGAGAGAGAAGGGGTTCTCCACAGCGCCCCCTCCAAATCCAGAATCCAAGGCCATATCCACACAATATATTTAAAGCATTGTTGTGCCACTTTTAGCAACTACGGACGATTCTGGGAACTGTAGTTTATTAATGGTGTTGGGAATTGGGAAGTCAGTGAAGCTCAGCACCTTTATCAGACTACAGTTCCCAGGATTCTGTAAGGGGAGTCATGAATTTTAAAGGAGTGCAAATGCTTTCAGCACATGGTATGGCTGTGAACCAAACTCTGCAAACGAAGGCACACTCCGCCTGAAAATTCTGCACGCTCCCAACGTCTGCTTGCGTTCTTAAAGTACCAATTCCACAGACAACCGTCGCCGCCACCTACCTGTGTGGAAATAGGGGCTCATGGTGTACGGAAAGCCAAATGGCAGCGGCTGCGGAGGTGGGAGTGAGGCCGGTGGGAGGTATTTTGCCTCGGTTTTGTTGATGACTGGGCCAAGGAGGTGGCTGGGCGACTCGGCGCTGGAGGAGCTGCAGGGGGCGCTCTGGCTGGCAGATAAATCGCCCAGTTCCTTGGCGCCATCGCAGGCTTTCGCTGCCTTCTTTGCATTCCTTCAGCTCGCCAGCCAGGCTGCTGCTCTCGGCCTTTGTGCTGTCCAGCTTCTCCTCGCTCACGTCGGCGTCGCTCTCAGAGTCCTTCATCTCCTCGTCGTTGCAGTCAGGGGGGCGGCTCTCGGACAGCTCTTTGGATTCGCTCTGGCCAGGCGCCTCAGCCCGGTGGTGTGTGGACTTCCGGCTCCCCCTCCGACTTCCTTGTTCCTTGGGCGGAGTGGTGGAGGCGCTGGGGACCCCATGGTTGAGCGACAGGAGTGGGGTGTTATTATGGCGGAGTACCAACATGGCGTTCCTCCGCGAGAGCTCGTCGCGGAGCGGGTGCCCCTCGGGAATGTCGTGGACGTTGCGCAGGGCTGGGTGGTCCGGTGGCAGGCCCGGGTGCAAGCTCATGGGGTCGCTGGCCAGTAGCCGCTGGCGGTGGAGGTTCTCCAACTCCTTCTGGCGGATGATCTCCGCTGACATCTCAAGCCTAAATGGATGAAGGCAAATGGGTGAGATGGGTTTGGGGGGAATTGAGAGGCTCAGGGCCAGAGTCCTACCTCTCTGCCACAGACCCACCTTGCAGCTGTGGGTAAACTACCCCCTCGTCTCCAAATTGCAGTGTCCCACAATTAAAATGGGGTGTGAAAGTGATCTACCTCGCAGGGTTGTTGAGGGGAGGGGGGGGAAACCCATCTGAATACAAATGGAATGTGATACTTGCACAAACTCAAAGCACTACATCATCTGAGGCCCTTCTTCATGTGCCTCCTCCATGACCGGTCTGGCAGTTGGCAACACAAGAACCAGGGCCTTTTCTGCAGTGGCTCCCCATTTGTGGAATGTTCGAAACATCTTTTCAGGCGCCAGGCAAAAACCAGGTCTTTGGCTGATTAACATTCTATGGCTTTTTAAATGTGTTGGGGGGGGTGTTATTGGTTTGTTTTTGTTTTATTATGTATTTTGTGCTTCTCACTTGTATTTTTATGTTGCGGTCTACCCTGCATTCTTCGGATGAAAGGCGGTATACAACAAACAGCAGAACACAAAACCAATAGCAGTGGTTCAGCAATGCGTATTGGGTGTATCAACTCAGAGCAGACCAACTGAAATTAATGGGCGCAACTGAGTCACATCCATTATTTTCAATGGGTCTATCAACCCTTGGAAGCAAGTTTTATCCATCTCCCTTTCCGGCAATATTATTCCACCCCGACATCCTTGCATCACCCAGGCAGTTCTGCTTTCCCCTCTCCCTGCTTCCAATTGGAAAGGGGAAGCTGGAGTCTAACCTGGGAAAAACGGGGGGGGGGGGCACTGCCGGGCAAATTGCAACGCTTTCCAAAACTCCCACATCCCAGGGAGATTCCCCAGCCTCCCATCTCTCCCCCTTAAGGGGAAGGGAGGTTGTCCGGGAGAGAGCCCTTGGAAGGGAACGATGATGAACGTGTCTGGCACGGCCTCCAACTCTTTGGCTCAATGAAGCGTACCAGCTAATCTCTCCTTCTCAAAGGATATGCATGGGAGATCAGGGATAAATTCATGGCCAAGGCCCCCGCCTCCCACAGCTCTAGCTAGAATAAGGGTCAGCAACCTTTTTCAGCCATGGGCCGGTCCACCATCCCTCAGACCATGTGGTGGGCCAGATTATATTTTTTTGGGGGGGGGGGAATGAACAAATTCCTATGCCCCCACAAATAACCCAGAGATGCATTTTAAATAAAAGGACACATTCTACTAATGTAAAAACACACTGATTCACGGGCTGGATTGAGAAGGCAATTGGGCCGCATCCGGCCCCCAGGCCTTATGTTGCCTACCCCTGAGCTAGAAGAAAGGGAGTGGGCCTCCTTCTTCTCCCCCCCCCAAAAGCTGTCTTACACAGAGTCAGATCCTTGGTCCACTTACTGTCTACACTGACCGGCAGTGGCTCTCCTGGGTACCAGGAAGGGGGTGCTTTTCAGCCATACATGGAATTGCCAGGGCTTGACCCCTTCTGCATACAAAACAACTGATCTACCACTGAACTACAACCCTTCCCTTCCGACACCTAAGTCAGGCCATTGGCCCATTTAACTCAGTACTGTCTACACCGACTGGTAGCAGCTCTCCAGGCAGGTGTCTCTCCTGACCCAACCTGGAGATACCAGGGATTAAACTTGGGACCATCTACACGTAGAGATGCTCTCCCACTGAGCTGGGGCCTATCTCCATCAACTGTGTGCTTCTAACCTGGCAAGGTTCTGCTTCCTCAGCATCTCTTGTTGTCGTGCAAACATCTCCGCTTGGGCTGGCTGTAGAAACCCGTAACCTGTGGGGAGGGGAAAGATCCGGAGGTTAACACAAATGCATGGTTGTTCAGAAATACTACGGTAGTGTTAATTTCAGAAGTGCACCATCCCTTCACAACAGTCAATCAATAATAATAATAATTAGGGGTGCATTGCAACAACTAATGCTGATCTCCTTCTGCTGCATTTCAGCTAGATCTATTATTTTCTGTGCATATACATGGACAAATGATTTGGAGTGTTCCAATAACTTCTTTCGGAGTGACTTGAATTGCGTTTTCCCCAAAGTTCCATTTCACATAATAAAATTTGCTCACCCTTCCCTTGAAACAGAAGCCCCTTGTTTGCAGTGTCCCTAACTGCTTAGCTTCGGAGAAGTTTCCCAAACTTGTGTCTCCACTTGTTTTTGGACTACAACTCCCATCATCCCTAGCTAGAAGGACCAGGGGTCAGGCATGATGTTAATTGTAGTCCAAAAACAGCTAAAGACCCAAATCTGGGAAACCCTACTTTGGAGCATACTGAACAACAATTCCCTGGTGTTCTTCCGATGTGCCTTTCTCCAGAATGACCCTAGGAGTCAATCTTCACTGGCTTACTCAACTCCTTTCACTCTGACTGGCTCCAAATCAGCACAAAGGATTAGAAGACGACTTCTCAGTGGCTAAAAAGCTCTCCTTTTCATGCTGACTGGATGGGCTAGGACACTAGGGACAGAGACCCTGCAGCAGAAATAGTAACAGGTCTTTGATCTCCCCCCACTCCAGAACCCTGGACCACTGCACTCAAATCCCGCCTTTTGACGATTCAAAGCCCTGCTCCTAGGCCTCTCTCAGCCCTGCTCCCTAATATCCTGTTGGGGATGCAAGGGGCTAGCACCTTGGATTGTTTGCATTCAAAAGCATGCACTCCACCTCTACACTATGCCTTCTGACTATGAAGGATGACAGAGGGGAAAATTGGAAACTACTTAATATACAATTCCAAAAACAACACACAGGCAACTGTGCTTCGAAATCCGTACTTCTCTGAATTTTTGCAATGCAGTTCTCCAGACAAGTAATATACACAAAGGCACATATATTAGGGAACATTTGAATGAAAATGAATATATTATATAGATACAAAAACGTGTGTGCTAGGCAAAAGCACATACAAAGAATGCGTATATAATTAGCACAGTTGCACACAAAAATGTTGACAAATTTTCATGAGGACTTTTTTTTTTTTTAAGAGAAAAATATTGCAAACTGACGTGGAAGACTGAAATTAGAACTGAAAAAAGTGGGAGATGGAAGGTTGTAGCCAATGCCAGTCTGACTCAACGGGAGACCAACTGAAATTAGTGGCCACGACTTAAGTCCAATGATTTAACCAAGTCCATCTTGAGTTAAAGCTTAGTTGGGATACAAAACCAGAGAAAACTGAAATGGACAGATTTGTCCATTGCTAAAGGAAGAACACCAAAACCGCATACCTCCCTCGCTCCTTGAACATTTTGCTGCATGGCATAATCCTCAGCACAGACAGGAACACTCACCTGGCGTCTGACACAAGGCCGAAGGTACCCCTAAAAAGGGGGGTCTCAAGTGCGGGCCTAATGCAATGTGAGGAGCGTTCTGAGGCGACAGAAGAGGGGGTGGATGGGACATCTCCCTAAAGGGAAAAACAACACAAAGCAGAGGGAAGTTAAGCACTTTACTTGTGGGGGGGGGGAAGTGTTGGGCCGCATCCACACCATCACTTTAAACAGCTATGGCTTCCCTCAAAGGATCCTGGGAGGACCTGTAGTTTGTTAAGGGTGCTGAGTTATGAAGAGGCCCCTCTTCCCTTCACAGTCTTAAGAGTTCCCTGGGAAGAGGGACTGTCTGTTCAACTACTGTTGACAACAAACTTTTTCAGCAGGTGGCTGGTTCACTGTCCCTCAGACCTTGTGGGGGACCAGACTACATTTTTGGGGGGGAAATGAATGAATTCCTATACCCCACAAATAACTCAGAGATGCATTTTAAATAAAAGCACACATTCTACTCATGGAAAAACACCAGGAAGGCCCCACAAATAACCCAGAGATGCATTTTAAATAAAAGGACACACTCTACTCATGTAAAAACATGCTGATTCCCGGACAGTCCACGGGCCGGATTTAGAAGGCAATTGGGCTGGATCCAGCCCCCAGACCTTAGTTTGCCTACCCATGGTTTAATCATTAGGAGAACTGCAGCACTAGGAGAAGAACAGGGGTCTCCTCACAACTCTCAGCACCCCTAACAAACTACAACTCCCAGAATTATTTGGGTGCTGTAGCCATGGCTGTTTAATGTGGCATGGTTGTGCTTTGAATATAGGGTGTGGATGTGGCCTTGACCAAGTCTGTAGAAGCTATACAGTTTTGACATGCTCCTTGCTCAGCACAGAAACACAGGGGCATGCTAAGCAACCCACAGTGAACTGGTGAGCTTAACCAGGAGAGGCGGGGACAAACATATGAAAACACAAAGTGGAGTTTAAATTTCTCACCCTTCTTGTAAAGCAGGAGTGGGGAACCTCTTTTGGCCCAGTGACCTACATCTTATCATTCTGCTCCTCTAACTTAGACAGGTGGGCGGGGACACCCACCTGCCAATCATCTAATGCCAGTATGATGTCATTTGACTGATAGGTTGGGAGGTGGGGAGAAGGTCTGCTTTGCCTGCATGTTCCCTGCGATGAACACAGTGGCGCACCCAGCAGGATGAACCCTGCCCTCCAGCTGATGTCAGCTGATTGATTGGCAGGTATGGTAAGGGGGAGGGAATTACCTCACAGGCCAAACTGGACCCCCTGGTGGGCCGAGAGCTGAACATGGGCCAGGGATCCTACTGTACCTGTTGTAAAACAGGTGAATTAAGCTCCCTTGGTATATTGTTTGGACCAGTCTTGCCTAGGAGACATTCTCTTACTGGTCCAAATACTCAGGGAGCTGAACACTCTTCTCCCAATGGCCCAAACAATCCCCTCAACTGCCATGCATTTGTTCTATGTATTGTATTCTCAGGTGTTTGCTGGAACAGTTCACAGTGGCATTGAGCAGTCTCCCATCCAGACAGCATAAAGCAAGGATGGGGAGCCGACTGCTCCCATCATCCCTGCCATGTTGGCTGGAGCTGATGGGAATTGGCGTTCCAACAGCATCTGGAGGATTCCCACCCCGGCAAAAAAGATAAGGCAGCTCCCCTTGGCTTCCTTCCATGCATGGGCTTTCAGAGCACACTCAAGGGAGCCATTTGACTAGCTGCAATGTCTATGTCCCGCCTCCACAGCTGGAGGTAATCTACCCCGAACGCCAGTGTAACCAGCTAAACTCCCCACTGGACAAAACATCTATGGCTAACAATCTTTTGGCTAATAAGCCTGGGAAGCCACAGCGATTTCGGAAGGTTGGGTTTTTCTCAACTGGGAACAGCCATTTATTTTTAAAAGGGCAAAATTTGCTTGAAAGATGACAAGGAGCCAGCAAGCATGAAATGTGTTTCCTTCCCCTGGGAGATGAGCATGGGTCCAGAGCCGTACCCTGCTTGTCCCCCCCTCCAAACCAGCACCGGCTCATTACACAAAAGTAGCACAGGCTCTCTCTTCAATCATTAGTAGCTTATGGATGTTTCTCAACACCAAATAATGTACTTTTTTTGGGGGGGGGAGGATTCTAGTGATTAAAGCTGCAGTGCTGTACACTCTCTTGTAGGAAACCCAGGGGCCACATGTCAGAGGTGGGTGGGCCAGAAAAGGGCCAGAGCAACAGGTGTAATTCTTGTGTTTGCACGGCCAGACAAAAGTCAGAAGTTTACAGAAACAGACACACACACAGACACATCTCTCCATGTTCCAACCAGGAAATCAAGAGACATTACTGTACTGCAGTTCAATGAAAAACCCAGCCATGCAAAAGTCCCTGAGGAGGATGTGCAGCAGGACCGGTGCGGGGAGTTGCCTGGGGAATATTCTTGAGTGCCAAATTTGGCCCCTGACCCTTGGTTTCTCATGCCAAGCAGTTCCTAAACTGAAACCTGCCTATTCTTCAAAATATGCACGTCTCCAAATTTTACTGTTCTGTTTCCCAACAGCAACAATAGATTCAGAAACAGAATCAACAACAAGTTCTTTTTTCAAATAAATAATTTTTTCTTGTTTTTTTTTCCTTTTTTGTTCTGCTGTTTGTTTTATTTCTTTGTGACGATTTTGCTTTGTGTGTATTTGTGTTTGATTGTTTAACGGAAATCAATAAAGAGAATTAAAAAAAATCAAATAAACAAATTGCAAAGTAAAGAAGAAATGGGTTAAAATGAATGTAAGTTGTGGGTTGGGGGGGGGATGGGGAAACCGAAAAGAAGTAAGATGGACAGACTCACCCACTGTCAGCCAGGAGGAAAACTAACCCCCTACCCTACTAAACAAGGAGGGACTACTAGATGGAGTAAAATCTCATCTCACAAGACCATTTATAAACACACACACACCAGTCAACACACATTCAGAAACCAAGTGAGATAAAAACAGAAGGGGAGAATTTTTCCTTCTAATGAGACTGCACAAATACTACGTGCGTGTAGACACACACAAAGAGAGATATAACTGAGTGGATTAAAATTCTCCCCTTCCAAGACCCAGGCCTCCATCCCCTTGTTGTCTCCCCATCTGTCCCTCTCCCCCGGCTTCCAGTCTGTCTCGTCCCGCTCGCTCCCCCCTGCTCCCCTTCTGTACATCCCTCCCCGTCCCCCCTTCTTGCTTGCCACCCCCCCAACGCCTTTCAGCTTTTCTCTCCTTCCCTCTCTCCTGAGCTCTCCTCTAAACTAATTGCACAGCTCCCGGTGTCTGGAAGAGAGCCACGGATCGATCCGTCGCTGTTGAAATGTTAATGCTAATCGTATAACGGCTCCGCCAGCGCCTCGCACTTCAGTGGCAGCGCCAATTAATCTCAGGTAACGCGGCGCATGACCTTCGGGGCTCAGCGCCGGGGCAGCAGCCAAGCGATGCTTATGTAATTACACCATGAAGTGTGTAATCACCTGCCCTAATCCCCGAGGCCTCACAATTAGCCGGGGCCCTCGGTCGCCGGGCTGCCAAGTGCGCTGCCACTCCGGACAGCCGAGCGGATGAATAACGGACAATTAAAGCGGCCTGGCGGGGGCCGGGAGGCGCGTCCGCTCAATCGTAATTAGCTGTAATCATGGGGAGACGAGAGCCTGGCAGACGTGCCGCTTGTTTTATAAGAAGCAATTTGGGAAATCAAGTGGCGCTTAACCGTTTTGTGGCCAAGCAGGCACATCCTCGCCCACCCCACCCATCGCTGCCCTCCCGTAAACACTGGCAGCAAGTGTGTGCGTACGTGTGTCTCGCAGAGATAAGCACATCCAGCGAGGGCCTGCTGCTCACCCCGACTCCATCTCCCCCTTTCCCATCCCCATCTGTGTGCCTCTTTGCCAAGTGCACCTTCTGCCAGGAACAAGCCTCCACTTCTGTTAGGCCAGTCTTCTGGTTCCATCGGACTCCTCCCACCCTACCGTTTGCCAATGAAACATCTCGCCTCCCGTATCAGAGGAACGCAGGGAGCTGCCTTAGACAGAGTCAGGCTCCACTGGTTCCGCCTAGCTCAGTATTGACTACACTGACAGGAAGTGGGTCTTCAGGGTTCCAGCCATCGAAGATGCCAGGGATTGAACCTGGGACCTTCTGCATGCAAAGCAGGTGCCCTACCCCTGAGCTCTCCCATTAAGACATGAGAATCTGGCTTATACACAGTCAGTTCAGTTGGTCCACCTAGCCCAGGACTGTTTGCACTGACTTGCAGCAGCTATCCAGGGTTTAAGGCGAGGGACATTCTGAGTCATGCATGCACTGTCAACACTGACTGGCAGTGGCTCTCCTGTTTCAGACAGAAATATTTCCAAGCCCTATTTGGGGTGGTGCCTCCACTTCCATCTAAGTTTTCACTCTGAGCAGCTTCACTGCTGAAACAACAACTCCCTTAGAAACTGGGGAAATGGAAAAATTGAAGGTCACTGGAACTGGCTATAGCGATGATAGTCACCAGCTATGCCCCCTTCTAGATAGAAATAACTTGGCCATGGTAACCTCTAGACTACTGCAATGTGCTCTACGTGGGGCTGCCCTTGAAGACAACTCAGAAACTTCCAACTGGTCCAAAACGCAACAACCAGGTTACTGGCTGGGGCTCCATTTAGAACTCATGCATCTAATGCCCTAATACCTGACAGGCTGCCCCCTTTCTTAGTGACCCCCTTGGGTGCCATAAACAATGGGAGAGGGGGCTTATTTGTGGTTCTGCCACCCACAGAAGTGCAGGGAATGCCAGCTCCAAAATTGTACACATGTGCTGAATACACACCTCTTTATCCTGCCCTTCGGCAGTTATGGTGGTTTTGTTTTGCCAGACCCGCTTCTTTTGCTCAATTTATACTGTTCTGTTCCATGTGGAACTGTTGTACATCTCTTCTGAACTTCAATGATTTAATCTGTTCTCATAGTTGCAGATTCTATTGTTGTAAGCTGCCCTGGGATTTTGCGGTGAGGGGGCAGGTAAGAAACCTTATAAATAAATACTAAATAAATAATGGACACATCCCCACGCCCCGATATAAAACCAAAGGTCAGCTTGA